GATCTGCATACACTCACTGATGGAATGGCAGGCCTCTGGCAGAAGCCTGCATGCCCATCTTTAAAATATATTATGAAACAATTATCTTTAGCAACAGCATCAAAATGAATAAAATATATCAGAATAAATTTAACAAAAAATTACAATATATATATGCTGAAAATTACAAAACATCATTGAAAGAAATTAAAGAAGACTTGAATAAACATGAAGACATTCCATGTCCATGATTTGGGACGTGAGCAGATCTGAAAATATGGGTGTGCAAGCAAGAGAAACCACCATCAGAGTGAAGAAACAACCCACAATCTGGGAGAAAATTTATACCAGCTGTTCTTCAGACAAAGGTCTACTATCTAAAATATATAAAGAACTGAAAAAAATCAGAACCCCAAATTTAAAGACCCAATCCAAAAATGGGCATCTGAAATGAACAGACATTTCTCACACAAAGAAGTAGAAACAGCAAATAAACATATGAAAAAATGTTCAACATCACTGGTCATTCGAGAGATGCAAATGAAAACAACACTGAGATTCCACCTCACCCCTGAAAGAATGGCTGCTGTCAAGAAATCAACCAATAAGAAATGCTGGTGGGGCTGTGGGGAAAAAGGAACCCTTCTCCACTGCTGGTGGGAGTGTAGACTGGTGCAACCACTGTGGAAATCAGTATGGAGACTCCTCAAAGAACTAGGACTGGAAGTCCCATTTGACCCAGCTATTCCCCTGCTGCACATCTTCCCAAAAGAATTCAAAGAATCATACCACAGTGATATATGTGCACCCATGTTCATAGCGGCACAGTTTGTAGTACCTGAAACTTGGAAACAGCCCAAGTGCCCATCAACTGGAGACTGGATAAAGAAGATGTCGTTTTTTAAAATACAATAAGAGTACTACTCAGCCATAAAGAATGATAAACTAGAGGCATTTATAGCTAAATGGATGCACATTGAGGCCATACTCTTAAGTGAAATAAATAGGACACACATGTGTAAACACAGAATAGTTTCTCTGGTGTGAGAAATTGAAAGCGTAAATGAGGATCAGATAATAGATAATAGATAATTTAAAATAGAAGGAAAAGGTCCAAAGGGTAAGGGGAATTGGGAAGGGTAGAGGAAAGAAAAGAAAGGAAAGGAATAAATATGAGAAAAGGAAAAACAGAAGCAAAGTCTTTGTAAATAGGGAGGAGTGAAGGGGTTGAAAGGAGAGCAATGGAATGGGGTAAAATAAGAACAGAGATGCATCATGTAAAGGTACAAACTCCCAATGGTGAGTGTAACTATATTGTATACCTAAAATGGACCAATAAACTTAATTAAAAAAATACTATACTTGGAACATATTTAAACTAAAACTTTGTTCATTGTTTATCTGAAATTCAAATTTAACTGGGTTTTCTCTATTTTATCTATAATCCTAGCCAAGGAGCTCTCTCCTCACCATGGACTTCCCGGAATTAGGGGCCATATTGTCCAAACCAAAGCTTAGTGTTCATAGTCTGATAAGAATGAGTGTACAAAATAGTGGCAGGAAGTCAGGGGAGCAGTGCCTGCCCTAATTATGGATTCAACCCCAGAGAGGGACCACAAAATGACTTCTTCAGCCCTTGCTTACTCCATCAGTGAAGAGGAAGAGATTAGAAATCTTGGTTGGGTTTCCATCTGTTGCTTAATCATCATGACCTAAAAGTGAAGTAAAAGCCTATTTTAAACCCCTTCTTACCATCGACTGCATGGCTAGAATTACAGTTGCAGATGGTGAAGCTCATGCATATGACTCAGATGATAGCCCTGTCCCCTGACACAAGACCTGGTAAGAACCCATGGGGTGCCCAGATGCCTAATGGTACCATCATTGGCACCTATGTCTTCTCAGAAAAAGAAACTGCCTGCACAGCTCATCATGCAGCAGGAAACAACAGGTGCAAAGACAAAGGCCACTTTGGAACCATTTGGACTGCAGACCGTGGCTCCGTGTGACAAGAGGGCCACAGACTTCGAGTGCCTGCACTAATCTGCCTGGTCATCCCATCCTGGGTCCAGAGCCTATGGCTGCCATTGCAGGTGGTCCCACCTTCCCTTGTCTCTATTGAGATGAAAGGCAGCTGGGGAGGGCATCTTGTGAAGAGATGGGTCTTTTCCAAATCCTTTTTACTAGGTGCTGACAAGTCACTGCAGAATTCTGGAAATGTGTAGCACAGCAAAAACACAAGGGTCACAATACACTGGTGAATGATTACCAGTGGAAAAATTCATTACAGGCTGCTCTCAGCTCTTGTCATGTCAGAAAGTGTTACATTAACAAGATGGAAGGTCCCTGTGGTCCCGTCCCCAATACAGCCCCCACTGCTACTGCCTGCCCCCCCCCATTTCAAATTATGTTGCATGGTGGGAGCACAGCCCAAAGGCAGGAGAAGTTAATTCAGCTATACTAATCAAAAAGGGGTCCAAGCCAAGCCAATGGAAGCAGATCCAACCTGCGTGGTACATGAAATTCTTTCTGCCAGCTGGCACCAGCTATGACCACTGTGGTCTGGTACCTACAGACAGCAATCAAGCAGACTGGGTCTTTTTTTAGCTCTTTACATAACTTTCTCCCACTCCAAGGGTGCAGGCATCCCTACCGAGAGCCTGGCTATATCTCTTTCCTGATGTAGACACAGACCTTCTAGGGGACAGCATGGAACCTTGTGCTGGTGACTGTGGAATGTCAATGATGAGCAAGACACACTGGGCTTGGATCAGCTCTGGACCAAGGTCTGGGGTAATAGCAACAGAGTCTCCATTTCTGGATGGCCAAAGGGATCAAGTGGCCTTCAACTTCTGGCCATTGAGTCAAATGAAGCCTTTATCTCATTCCTCTTTCTGAACTCTCTTCCCCAGTGACTACATCCTAAATGAAAGAATCATGGGCACAAATGGCAGACAGCCAAGAGGAAACGCCAATAGAGATGGGTCAATAGCTCTTCCTTAATGAGATCTCTGTTCCTGCAAGGTGCATTTCTAGAGGAGGGACTAGCCAGAGGAATCCACATTAATGTCAAGTGCACAGCTGAGCTCAGAACAGAGGGTCTGTGCCCAGAAGGGGTGCTCTTCGCTGTGTCTTCTGAAGGAGATGGGAGATCTTAGGACGCAGTTTTGCCCTGAGCCCAACCTCTCACCTCCTAGAGGCCCATGAAGCCCCCATTGCAAAGGTCACCTTGAGTGGAGGAGCCAAGTCCAACACACTCAGCAGCCAACACGATGCTAAACATTAAGCTTCCCTGTAGCTGGCTAGGCTGGAAGCTGCCATTCCACTATGCAGCCTTCTCCGGGCTTGGGACGAGGAGAGACTACCTCTTTCAGAAGCACCGGGGAGGCCTGCCCTCCGCCTGCTCAGCACTGGGGAAACCTTCCAAGCCATTCAGTTTGCCTGAGCCCCACCCATCTTTAATGTCACCGTCTATATTATCTCCTATCCTCCTTTTTCAAAGCAGCCAAAAAAGAAAATGTCACTACATTGGGGGCCAATTCAAAAGTCAGGCTTAGACAGAAGTTCTGTTTCACTCTGAGCCCCCCGCCAACGTGAGTTTATCTTCTGAGGAGACTTTAGGACCCCCCCATCCATGTGCTCATCAGGTGTCTTTATGTCCCCCCAGTTGTGCATCCTCCACTCACCTTCACAGAGTTCTCTGTAGCTACAGCCCTGCTATGAGGACAACATGTTAGCTGCAGGACTCTGATGGGGACTTCAAGGTGGGCTGACACCACGTCCATCCACTTCCTGACAGGGATCTGGAGGCTGCACAGCTGATGTAAGCAAATGTCTAAAGCAAGGAGAATCTTCACCAGCCTTGGCAGGCATGGTCGGGGCCTTGTACGTACCTCCTCTCCGCTGTGGGCCTTGAGGAAACCCTCGAAGGCATTCAGGGCAAGTGGCAGCTCCGACGAAGATGACAGTCAGAATGCGTCCTTGACAGCTGCCAGCTCGCCCAGGAATAGAGAGCCCATGCACTGATTGATACCTGAGAAGATGGCTGTCATCAGGGAGGGTACAGGAGCAAGATAAGGGACTCAATCAGTGTCAGGCCCATCCCAACACAACACAGCTGTAAATCACTTTGGGTAAAGATTCTCAGCTGCTACAGTGCAGCAGTGCAAGCAGGTAATAGAAAAATAGGGAGGTGCACCTGTGGGGGGAAGGAGGAGGGAACCATGCTCAGTCTCGGTCCTGAATAGGGAAGTAGATGCCTGGCAGAATTCTGAGCGTCTATTCTCAGCCCAAGAGGCATACAGGGTTTCCCTGAGCTAATTGCACAAGGTTAAAATATAATCCAGGGTGAACCCTACAGTATGTGAGTTATGCCTTACTCATAGTATGTGAGTACGTGAGCGTGGTTGTTTGACACACATGTATTCCAGCCAGCAGCCTGGTGGGCTGTGCTGGGCATCTTCCCTCTGGCCCTCCCATGGAGGTTGAAGAGATGGTCGCAGAGGTGCTAGCCTTGTCCTTATCCACTGATACCTGAGTGAGATGCAGCACACAGCAAGCTGTGAGGAAAACAGGACTCATAGACTCTGCATTTTGATGAGAAAAGATTTCTTCAATTCCAGAAAGCCTCAAGTCCCTTCAGCTACCCCAACCATGTTGCAGATGTAAATAGCACAGGCCAAACCCATTTTAGAGATTGTCTTTCAAAAGGTGTTAATTAGACACTTTAAAAAATAATTCCCTTATGTTTTTGTTCAAGGGACAGAGATTCTTAAGTTGGAAATAATGAACGGATTAGTGATTAATTAATTGCTGGCAGGTGCGGGGAGAAGCTATCCATGGCTTCTTAGCATTTCCCTCTCCTCTCTTAAGATTATTCTTTCTTATTTTAATTAATTCTTTTTCTTAATTTTAATTAATTTTTTATTTTAAGGGCTACTCCAGCACTTCTTTTATCAAATAATCAAATAAACTAAATAAATAAAGTGTACTGAGACCAAAGTACTCAATATGGTGTTTAATTGGAATTGTAGCCTGTTTTCTCCCAATGGAGTCTTGGGGTACATGGAAGCTTTCCCTGTCAATGGAATTGGACTCCAGAAGTGCATTTTAGCATCTAGTTAATCTTCCTTTCAGGTGCCACGTGAACAGCCTGATTGAAACAAGGAAATGTAAGCCTCTCGGTGGTTTGTGGTTTCTCTCCCCAAGTAAGCAACAGAGGTGATGACTCATCTAGCCTGTGGATCTTCTATCCATTCACTCTGCTCCACTGTGGGTGGGTGTGTGCCGTACAAGCACACTGGGCACATAAGCCAGCTCTTGGATGGGCTGGTCTTGGCATACAAGTACCTTGCTGGACTTGGCAGGAGGGCTGTCTTCATCATTGCAACAACTAAGTCTAGAACAAAAATCCTGTAATCTCTGCTCTCAAACCCAAGCCAGGGCCAGGAAGGGCAAAGGACAACCAGGACATGTGCTCACCTGCAAGGCCAACCCTCTCTCAGGAAATTTGGCCTTTGTGCTCTGTTCTTTCCAAAGCATCACTGGGAGAATACTATATGGGTCAAGGTAGCTCCCCATTTGTGAGACAGTGTCCTGAATGGTGAGCACCCAATCTAACTGCAGAGGGGCTTCGGGGACGCAGGTTTGTCATGGCACCAGAGCTGTTGGCTCCTTCAAAATGAGTTATAGTTATAGTTGGCACCTTCCAACAGTCAGGAGATTCCTTAGGGGGGGGCCTCCACTATCTTCTCTAGAGCCAAGTTTCCAAGCCACAGTGACAGACGAATCCACAAATGATGACTGGTAGGAATGAAGAAGGAATGGAAGGGGGTTTTAAAAATGGGTCTCTGGTGGCCACTGTGTTGTTCAGCCCGAAGTATTCTTCTCCAGATTGAGGCAAAGACAGAAGACACAGCTGTCACTGATGAAGCTCAGATGATTCTTTGCCAAGCATTCCTGTAACCTCCTGTGGAACGGTGGAGCAGTGTCGGATGGCAGGGAGGGAGCCAGGGGCAGTAGGGGCATGGTCGGGCAGTTAGCTGGTAAAGAAATGTGTCCTCAGCTGAAGGCCTGTGGAGGATGCCCCCGAGGAAAGATTTCCTGATGTTTCTCTCCATTTTTTTTCTCTCTCTCAGGTTTGGAAGCATCAAAGAGCTCTGAAATCAGGACAGGAATCGCTAATGGAACTCCTCACATTGTCATGGATATCCCTTTGAATTCTCAAGGTAGACTCCTGGATATCTGTAAGGAACATAAGAAAGCTCTTTATGGATAGATAAGAAAAGATCTTTACAAGATACAGATAAACAAAAAATCTAGGTAAAGTAGAGGCTATATTATTTATAGGGGCCAGGGCAAAAAGAAATTGTGGGGTTCAAAAGCTTGTAAGACTTTTAAAATGGGGATAGCAAAGCATTCAGCTAAGTGCAGGGCCCTGTGTGGCCACACATTCCACACCCCTATGGGGCCAGCCCTTGCTTATTAGCAACCATAGCCACAAACCAGAATGTTAGACAAGTAATACATAATAAGGCTTGCCAATGGGGAGGGAGAGGAGGACTAAGAGAAAGGAAGGTGGTGAATTTCCACTAAATGCCTGTTTATATTTGCTTAGTATTTAAACCATGTGAGTGAATTTACTCAAAAATTTAAATTAAGAAAAAAACCCTCAGGGTGTCAACAATCCCCACATAGACCTAAGCAATCTGTGGGTTCCCAAACACATTTATCCATGATTAAACATTGTTATGTGGAGGTCCTGCAGGTGGGAAGAAACTGAGAGCAGAGGCCTCAAATTATAATGACGAAAGCAACCACTGTCCTCTTTCTCACCTGACCACTCACTTGTCAATGGATGCAGATTTCTAGGAAGCCAAATAAAAAAGTGTTGAGCTGGGGATTTAGCTCAGTGGTTCTGCTGCCTGCCTTGAAAGCACAAGGTCCAGAGTTCAAGCCCCAGTACCAAAACAAAACAAAAAAAAAGTGTTAACTCGCTCTGTGATCTCTGTTAGGTTCCTCTCAACTTCTGGAACTGAGGTTCAGGCCACAGAAGCCAATGCCTATTTTCACAGCTGCCCTATAAGTTAATAAGTGCTACTCTGGTGACTCCAAATCTCATTAAATGCATGGGTTGGATGGATGTTTCAGAAATAATAAATGCTTTGAGTTTAACTAATGAGACCTTCTCATGTGTCTCTAGACTAAAGCAACTCAGAGGAAGGGGAGCAGAACATGCCCCACACCCCTGGTCCTCAATAATCAAACTAACAATGCAAGCACCTACAATGCACTCAATAAATTCTTCATTTAATCCTCATAATTCTGTGCAAGGAGGCTCAACTACTTTCCTCATTCTGTATAGAAGGAAACCAGTCCAAAGACAAAAGGAAACTTGGCCAACGTTACCCAGTGAGTGAAAGATGAAGCCAGACTGGACACAAACATCTAACAAAACGCTCATAAGTTTGACTGTTATCCACAAAGGAGGGAAGCACCAATTTTAATGCAAACTAACATGTGATATGTCTTCTGAGGTATTCCACTCAGCAGAATCTTCTAGTTTCCAGAACATAATAAGTTTATTTTGAAAGTAAGGGCTGCCTGTTTTCACTTGGATAGATACAGCTGTGCCTTCTTTTATCCCATCAAATCAATTGAATGCTGGGCTCATCACTCATTGAGGCTCATGTAAGTGTTTTGTATGGCCTCAAACCTTCTTTTCCTTGGAAACATTTCTAAAATTATGACGATTTGATTGTTCTTGGGAACAACTCTCTTGAGACAGTTAAAGAGTGTGAGGGGGTACCATATTTACTTCTATGAGTACAGAAAAGTAATCCAGAGTCACAGAAGGTCAAGCTCACAGGCAGATGCCAACATTCTTGGACTAAGAAAGCGACTCCAGGACTTGGTTTATATTTCGAAGGTGGAAGCAAACCCCAATATTCCCTTGAGAATATTTCCCCTTCTGACACTAGGAATAAGCATCTATGTAAAACAATTTTATATATTTTTATACCATTTGTATTGCCTTGCATGCTAAACTGGGGAAGTCAGTTTCAGATACTGTAAAACTTTCTGTCTCAGAACCTAAAACACTCCAAGACACAAGATGAATCTTTAAGACATATTTGTTAAAATGGTGAATGAATGAATGAGTCAACTGTCAAATAATATTCAATCATAGTCCTTAGTGGACATGTTAGACAAGTAATAACTCATATGACAATTCCACTTCTTCCTGTAACATACCAGTAAAAGATTTAAATTATTTATATTCTAATAATATGTTCTATTATCCAATCCATCAAATCTTCTATCTAGAGATTAAATCCAACCAGTATCAACTTTCCTCATCAGATATTGAAAAGTGAAAACAAAATAACTGGAAGGCAATAAAAGAATACTTGGTAGACCAAGATAATGCCCTGGAAGTTCCTACTTTTGTGTGTTGTCAAGTAACAACTCATAAATACTTAAAAGCTTATTTGGCTTGTTCAAATTAAAACATTAAAAGAAAGAAAAAAAGTTTGTCTGCTTTTTACAAATTCAATAGCCCAATACTGTGGAAGGAAAAAAATCTGGCTTAGGATTTCTGTAGTTGCTGATTAGTTGAAAAATGATCACTGGTTTAAGTGAAAATAAGTCCCCTGCCACATCTGGAGGAACCAGTTGCAGAAGACAGGGTGTGGCTTGGCTTACAAAGGAAAATTTTCATAAAATCTCTATTTCATGCCATGCAGTCTCCCCCTCACACACACCTTCTTTCAAAGTGATGAGACACAGGAAGCAGGAAGACGGTTTGGAGACTGTTGTGAGATGTGTAAAGCCATGTTTTCTTAGGAAAAAGGCAAGCTGAACTCTGGCCAGGTGATGAGACATCACAAGAAGGTCGAAGTATTAAAATTTCCAGGAAAAGCTGTAGGATAAGGCTGCCAGAAACTTAGAAACTGACAGACTAGGGATTTTCAATATTCTTAACAGTAATAGAAAATCTGAAATTTTTACTAAAAGGAAAGACAGAGTTACCTTTAAACAATGATTGATAATCAGCAAAGGCTAATGAGATAAAGAACTTAACCTGAACATAGATTTTTGTACATTATTTTATTGTATGTTGTTTTAAGCTGAATATCATTTTCTATATTGTTTTTACTGTTTTAAGAGATATTTAGCTTTTTATTTTATAAAATTTATTTTTCTTTTATTTTTTTCTTAAAATGTGTAGTTCTCAAAACGTCATCTCCATCACAATTACCAAGAAATCTTTTCAAAAAGGGAATTTCCTGAACACAGATACTATGTGTAGGGTTGAGGTTCAGGAGCCCGCATTTTAACAAGGTAAATGTGCTAGGTCCTAGGGAATTTGATGTGAGTGATTCACAGTTTTATTTCCAGTGTACACTCTTATGATTTATGTAAAATTGCCACCTACTGAAAACTTACCAAAATTACAGGCACAATGGAAAGAAGAAAGAACTCAGTATGGTGATTGTGTTTAAACTGTGATGTCAAATAAACACCCGTAAAATGTTTCAAAGCTTATGTGGCTTGTTCAAATTTAAAACATTAAGATAACTAAAAGAAATTTGGATAATTTTTATGAATCCTGAATGTTACCTGAAAGAACGTAAGAAGTGGAAATGGCTAATTTATAGTAGAATTTCACAGTCCAGGGCACATGAAAATGGTACCCAGGAGGGAAGTTGAAGAGCTACAGAAACACATTTCACCTGCTTTCAATTCTTCTGGCATCTTTGTGGAAGTAATGCCTGATAACAAACTTGCCAACATGTCAACGCCTGAATTAGGACGTCGCTGTGTGCTGCAAATCTCTGCTGTCCATTCACCTTGCCAGGTAAGGTGTGTATAGATCTGTCTTCCCAGTTCACAGAATGCTCTTATGACTCAACTGCAAGCCCTACTTCATTTGAAAAGCTCTGGAAGAAAACTGACTAAATGAAAAGGAACCTACTCCAGGCAGCATTTTGCCCAACAACTCAGCTTCCTCCAGTGGGGAGGCGTTTGACTGGGAAGTCTGAGACTTCTTCACCGACCTCTCCTCCCTCCCCTCGTCACAAACAGCAGATGGCAGAAAGCATCACACCCCGTGCAGGCAGCAGCTGCCTTGTGGTATGGCATGAGAAAGCAGGGAGCACTGGGCTGGAGATAGCAATTTGCATGACCAAGTGTAAATCACACAGCCTCTCCAGGCATCATTTTCCTGCTCTGTTAAAAGGGGCACTCCTGCCTTCTGGGCTTGTGAGAATTTGAGCTAATATATGCAAAATGCCTGGGACTTAATAGGTGTTCAATAAATGGTAGTTATTATTTTATGCATGAGCCTTGGGCTAATGTATGTGTGAACATTTAGTTATTAATTAGAAGGTAAATGAGAGCTGGCTGGAGGGAATTGCATCTGACCTTTAGCAAATTATTTCACTTAGATGCACTGATGCAAAACTATCACATCTTGTGAAGAAAGATGAAAATAAATCTGGCTGACAAAAGATATTTTAATAAATACTCAATCTTCCTCCAACATCCACTCAGTATATGGTCACCCCACTATAATTGGTATGCTGTCTATGGAGGCTTTTGTGTCTTTCTCTCTTGTCATAGTCAATTACTGGCCGATCAGAGTCCAGACTCAGCTCTGAAAGACCTATTTGAGCTCCTGCAGCTAGAGCCTGCTTCAAAAAGCAACTTATAATGCTTTTTCCCCTTCAATTAAGCTTGCCACCAAACAAGTGTGGGTGTCCTGGGGTTGTTAAAATCTAACTGAATTATTCCTAGGCTAAGTGTGGCTCAGCTGGTGTAACATGATGCAGGGACCTGATGCAGTTGACCCTCTACATGCCCATTTCATTGGCAGGCAAAGAGATTGCATTGTGCTCCACGTAAAACAGCAGACAGGAATCAGATTATGAGTCACTTTCCCTGCAGAACTGTGATGCCTTACAGGGAGAACAGTGCACTTAGTCCAGCTGATGAGACAAAAGGAAAAACAGGAAGTTGCATGGACTTGCAAACCAGAAAAAGAAGAGAAACACAGACACATCGTTACCTTAATTTCCAAATCCTTGGAAGTCCCCTTAGGCATGCAAGAGTACTGAGATGCACAGGGAGTGAGGGGAGGAGGAATAAGGAAGGTAAAGATTGGTGAAGATACTTCTGGAATAGAGAGCAATGCCTGACAGCAGGGCTGGTGCTAATCCTTCTTGGTGGGAGAATCAGTGCCA